CAGGAACGAAAGCGTCTCTGTGTTATCAACGCTGTTTTCAGCAAAAATTCAAACCATAGCCCTGTATCAGCTACTATGAAGCAAATTAACTCTCTCCCAGCCAAACCAGGACATTCATTCAGATCAATCAGCTATCCCTGACCTCTTCTCATGTATGCTGAAGAGAACAAATAATTTGCATATTGATAAAAACCGCATCTCCTTTTCTCAGAGAGAACTGCTCTGTCAGAGACAACTGTGGAATGCTATCAAGTGACATTAGACAATTCTTCCTTTGCCCTACAAGTTAAATACACCTGTATTCTTCTTGTGATACCTATTATTCAAAAGTAAATAGCCTCTTACAAGTAAATCATAAACCAGTCTGTAACACATTCAATATAGTGACACCCTGTTCCATTTTACTATACCGGAGAAGGAAACAGTTTTCTGAGTTCCTGCTATTCAGCTGAGCTTTGGTGTGACCCAGCCATTCAATGTTCAGCTCACAGATGAAAGACAGAGCTGAAACTGGGAGGGCATAAAAATTTGAAATTACACCTGACATTTCATTAACAGAGTCTGCCTAGGTACTGTATTTAAAATAAAGGTAGAGTTTACATTGTAATTTAACAGATTAGTGTGACTACATTTCCAATACTCGACTAGCATTAGCTAGGCATTGGACTAGCCAAAGCAAACAATAAGTGAAAGGCAGCCTGGTTGGTGGAACATAGTTCTCCCAGATTTCTGAGATAAAAGCAGGCTTTTCCTGGTTTACAAACAGGTTTTGGTGGTTTTGTTTTGGGTTTTTTGGGTTTTGGGGTTTTTTTGTGTTTTTTTGGGTTTTTTTGTTTGTTTTGTTAAAGAGCTTTAGGTATCTGTTCATAGATGATGAACTTGAAAAGACAACTTTAATTTTGCAAACCTGACTTCCTGAAATGGAATCCATATTGACATTCAAAAGTCCCATTAGACAGTTCAAAGACAGTAGCACAACATCTCTTAACCTGCATGAATGACGCAGCACAGCAAATAGCTGAAGTGTGTTACCAACTCACATCTCTTCTGAGTTGCACTCCAAAAGGCAGCAGTCTAAGAAAACATCAGCAGTATCACTACTGGTTCAATCAGCTCCCTAGAGACACCTCTTCTACCCACACAAAAGCAGGGAGAATATATACACCATGTTGAATCCCAACCTTGGTTGCCTGGAGATTGCTGGAGATGACACAAAGGTTAAACATCCACTGAAGAATTATTATAGAGCCTTGAGCTACAGGCTTATTATCTCTAATGCTGCAATCAATGGCTTCTTGCCTGACAACGCATGTATTAAGATCTTTCAAACCAACTCAGATGAATTTATTTCATATGTCGTACAGAAGAACAGCACTATTAACCTAACTAGAACTGAGATTCTTTTGTTAAAAACTATAAATTGTTATTTTTTTCTTTGACTTCAACCACAGTCAAGGCCTTTTTGATATATGCACTTTATTTTTCTAGTGTGCTTTGAAAGAACTTTGCTGCTTGGCTGTGCAAAAATGTGAATTACTTATTTTCAGGACTAGCCTGCTATCCAGTGGAGGATGACCTGTTTTCATAGTAGGCCAGAGGAAAACTTCTCTTTTTAAATGAAAATGGAAAGGAATTTTGATTGTGTTGTGTTAAACAATTACAAAGAGCCAAAATATCTATTAAAAAAGCCGAGCATGAAAAATGACATTAGGAAGAATTTGCCAAAATTATTTAAACATAGAAATTGAAATATTAAACTAAATGGCATCCCAATAATTTATGACAAAGTAAAATCGTTGTGCTAACATTACTTTCATACAATAGGCTATTCAAGATGATTTGACTGTACTTCAAGTACAAGGCAACTCTTTGATACCATTAACCCTAAGTGACAGACATTTAAACTGATATTACTCTAATTAACTGGCAACTGCCTACACCAATAATTCAAGTTTTGCTGAAAGATAGCAACAACACTGTACTCAACTTCAACTTTGCCCTGGTGACATCAAATGATATTACAGCTAAATTAACAGTTGTGAAAATTTTTGGCCTGGTAGGCCTCCATCATACACAGCCTTTAAATGCCATTTCAGTTCTCATCAAGGCAGGAATCAGCAGTTATAATTTTTAATATGGCTGTGAAACAATAGGACATATTAAAAGCTGAATTTTTGACAGCACATTCGTGATGATTTATGAGTTTGTATATAATCTGATTATTCTATTAATTTTACTGATTACTGATTCAGCTAATACAGTGAAGGTCACTTACAAAATAAATCTTCATTACATTTCACAGAAAGTAACTGCCTCCAACTAGTTGTTTTCTTTAATTAAACACTAATGTAACAAGAGAGAAAATAGGCTTCAGGGTTGCTGCATCTGTTGCTACAAGAGGAGTTTACTGCTTTGATGTAATGCTCTCCGATATTAATTGAATAAAAATAGAATGTCTCTCCATCTGACATCTTGATTTTCAACGCAGAGAAACCATAAACACCCTTAAATTACAGACTTACCCTTAGCTCACTCTGAAACTACATAAAAGAATTGGAAAACCATATCACATAGTTTCACACAAAAAAAGAGTAGTTTTTATTTCTAGCATATAGTTTATCTTCTGCTCTCTCAAATGCATGGAGTGATTAATTAAAAAATTGAGTTTTTTTCTCCCCAACTGTATTCTATAGCAAAAACTATTTACTTCGCTCCTTAAAGATGAATACTGCACGTACAGCACAGCAAGCTCTGGAGAAAGATCAAAGAAAAACATGCCAAGTGCTGAATTAATGAATTGTCCTCTTTCAATTTATTTTTACCCACAGAGAAAGCTGTGACCTGGTTCTTATGTTAAATTCTGTTTCCTGAAAGGTCCCTACAACTTCAGCAATACTTTCCTACAATATTGTTGTATGTTCTAAAAACATTAAAAAAGGAAAATACAGACAAATCAAACAAATAAAATGGCTATAGTTAAAAAAAATAGTTCATTTACCCAACACAGAGTTCCCATATAAAAAGTCAAATGTCATTTTGTGCACCCACCTGGATGAAGACAAAA